AGGGGGGGGATGAGGAGGGGGTTGTTAGTGTTTTACAGTACTCACAACTGCATAAGGCCATAATAATATGAGCGCGCGGGAAACATTAAACATTTTCAGTCGATAGGAAATTTTGACTTTGCTTCGGTTGCGACCAAAGAAAACTTTTTTCGATTTTGGACTGCCAAAGGATAAGTAACGTGCGCAACTTGCACACGGTACCTCCAAGATTTTTCGCCCTTGTTCTAGGTTAGGTGTTGATCTTTCCTACCATAAGGTCAGGGGTTAGGCTGTAAGACAGCAGTAATCAGAAGCCAAGGAGTAGCAGTAGAAAGGCTGCAGAAGGAGTCAGGAGCCCAAAGGAGATGGCAAGGGAGGTAAGGGGGTTGGGGAAGAAAGTGGAGACGAAAGCAGACTTCTGAACATTGTTAGAGAGCAGGAAAGGAGGTGAAACGAGACAGTTTAGAGAGAAAAAAAATTCCGTTGTTATCCGGATTCGAACCCAGGACGACCCTTGAATGAGTGGCGAACGCCTTGACGTCTAGGCCACGAGAGCCCCCCAAACCTAAAAGTAATGTTCGATTGGTTGTCAGGAATAACCCACAAAGTAATATTCAAATATCAAATACTCCATTTTGTAACCGAAATAAGCCATCAAGTAATGTTTGAATAGTCGATTTGTTTTCGAGGAATGTAAAAACGTGTGTTTTGAGGACATGAACATCAAAGCCAAAGCAATGTTTGTGTAATTATCAATTTGTGCTCATGATTTAATCTTAAAGTCATGTTTGAGTAGTGAAACCTTGCTTCCAAGGATTGGATTATTTTTGTTACTTTTATCAGCGTCTCCTTTGATATTGGCAAAATGAGGAGTTTTTTTCAGCGTGCTCGTCGTTGTCTATAGCTCAAGAGCAATCCACCTAATTTTGTTCCATTTCTTTTTTTAAAGTCTTTTGTTGTCTTTTGTTTTTGTTGTTGTTGTAGTTGTTGTAGTTGTTGTAGTTGTTGTTGTTCTTGTTGTTGTTGTTGTTGTTGTTTTCTTTCAACGTAGCTATTTTTACGCCGACATCAACGAAATTTTGATCATTTTGAAGGCGGGGTTCAACTATGTCTATAACAGTCAATCCGGACTGAGAATGAAACAATATCCAAGCGAAAAGTATGAGAAAATCGATTTTAAAAATGCGCCACGTTCGTCAAGAATCGAACTCGTGTCTCCTGCGTGCGACATCAAACGCCTAATCGCTACACCAAAGATGTCGGTTAGTTCGGTCTGACTTTACAGGGAAATTTTTAAAAAAATATTATCTCTTTCTGGTTGGCTAAAGAATTATTCCATAAATCAAACCCTCAGACTTCGATCCATCATGATATTGGGGAAGCAGGGCAGAGCATACAGTCAAAGACAGTGTAATCTTGGAAGAAAATTACTCCGTAAACAGCAAATCCCTTCATCTTTTCTCCGGTCAGTTAAGGCTGGTCTATGATTAGTAATGGAGAAACCCGGCGTATAATTAGTAAGGGGGAAACCCGTTCATTGTTTCTGTATTACTGGGGAAAACCCGATGCTGCAAAGCTTGGGTAATGGCTAGGTTGGGGTATCCCGGCTTGACTGTTGGAACCCACGACACGTGACTGTCACGTGGACAATTTGCTTACTGGGTCACAGGTCTTTAAGAATATCGATTGAGCTGAGGGTCAGAGACCGTGGTAATCATTACTTCCCGGGGGTGGACGTTTGGTGAGGAAGAAATTGTTATCTGTAGAGTGTTTGGTGATGTGTTTGTATGTCTGTGTACATTAGTGTGTTTGTGTGTGAATGTATGTGTGAGTGAGTGTGTATGTATGTGTGTGTGTTTGTGTGTGTATGTAATTGCGTGTGTGCAACGGTGTATGTGTGTTTCTGCTTAAGTGTTAATAGATAGATAGATAGATAGATAGATAGATAGATAGATAGATAGATAGATAGATAGATAGATAGATAGATAGATAGATAGATAGATAGAGCGCCACACACACACTCACACGCACACACACAAACACACACACACATATATAACCACACATAGGGTGTGAAAAAGGTTTGAAGAGAGAGAGAGAGAGAGAGAGAGAGAGAGAGAGAGAGAGAGAGAGAGAGAGAGAGAGAGAGAGAGCAAGCGAGAGAGAGAAGGGGGATAAAAGAGAGTAAGAGAGAGATAGACAGTAAAAAATGGAGTCTTGAAAAGAAAAGAAAGGGAGACTGAAAGAAACAGACAGAAACAGTAGAACGCGAATTCCCGGAACACTTTCCCTTTCGACCCAACTCCAAGCGTCCGTGGTAACCAAAACCCATTTGTCCTCGCCGGTCTTTAAACAGTAGTAATTAATTTATGAGTCTCCCATTTCACCCCGCTCTGTTGTTGTTTATTTTCCAAGGCCAGAAGGTGCAGGCCCGGAGTCCCCTAACCACTGGACAGTGGCAGAGACGTGGGCTCGGATTAAAAAACTGCCGGGATTTATGGCTTTCTTTTACGTCTGGATGCTAATTCT